TTCCATTCTCCCCTGTACCAGGTGGAGGGGAACCAGAGCCTCGGTCATACCGCTGATACCTCTCATTGTGCGTCGCCGTAGCTCATGTCACTCTCACAAAATATTGTGACGCACTTACTGAAACTTGTTCTTTCCAACTGTAAGTTTTGTGGATCGTTTTGGTGACGATACCCAAGCTGATTCCCACCTCTTTTTGAATTTTGACGTGTATTTTGGCTCCAGAGTTCATAGTGTAATCTTTTACACCTAGTCCTGGTCTCAGCCGTTACTGGAAAGTAAGAGCCGCCTAATAGTGCTGGGTTCAGGGTAGGTTTCCAGCCTCTGGTACATGCCCTTCTGTAATCAACATTCTTTACTTATCCCTTTTCAATTTGAATTTTTCTTTAATAACTTTTGTGTATTTTTCCTCTGATTTGACGTAGTTATTTGTTTCTAAATCCATTGAAATGTTCAAATCACATCATAAAAACTCAAACGGAGTGGGATGCAGTCCCAGCGGTGGTGCTACTGCTGATCACATGAACTCCCCAAGACCCTTAACATCGTATGAGAGACAGCATTGTGTATAAGAGCACTGGTTATGGAATTAATGGGGCATCCACTTGTGCTTAGTTTTTAGTTGTCCTGATACACGTTCTCAATCACATCACAGAACACCTGCAGCTTCAGGGTCATGAGGCTGACATGACGGCTAGCAGCCCTTCCGGTGCTAAGGCTTCTGATTCTGCAGTCCAGATATGCATCATTGTAACTCTTCATCTGCAGTAACGAGTACTAATTAAGCCAGCACTACGCACACACACAGACAGACAGACGTGTGCACTGATGTCACCTCAGAGAGTGTTTTAAAACCTGTTTTATGTCCTTAGAGACTTTCATAGAACATGTGACAGATACTGTTGGAAGAGGGGCAATGGTTGATGAAATCAAGACACAATTTAAGAATCACCCTGGTAATAACAGGAATTTTTCAAGTTTAACATTTATGCTCTGTGCTGTCTCTGGGATCTAGTTAACTGTGCATCGTTAGTGACAGCAGTAACTATATGTTAGTGTTAATGATCAGAAATGTTCATGAATTTCCTCTTCTATTTAGTTAAACTCTAGTATTTACTATCAATGGAAATTTAGCTAGATATTACTTAGTTCTTAAACTCATCCATTTGGAAAGTAATCCACCAAATCTAATGCAAAATGACTCTGGAATATTCTTGATTTATATTTCCAGCTGCCATTCTATTCACTGTCTTTGCTGGCTTAGAAAGGAATGTTGCTTTGAATTTGCAAAAGCGAAAAGGCTAGGTGGTGTGCAGTACAAGAGGGCTGCTTCACTGCTTACCAGTTACCTCTGCATAATTAGGTTGGCAGGTAATGGTGTCTGTATTAGAGTGGCGTTTTCTAGCCGAGCTGCACAATTCACAGTTACCGCATTAGTCCTAATAGTAGCAGTGTAGATACATTTCTGTTTGATGCAAGAAGTACTGTAGTTATGAACTTTCTGCAGAATTGATGTTGAAAGCTAGAATTTGAAAGTAACTGAATGTTCAGATACAAACACCCACATGTGTGTTTTCACTGAAATTTAAGATTAAGGCAAGAGTTCTGAAGCTTTGCTTTTGAATGCTTTATTTTATTACATCCTCAGTTTTGTTCCTGAAAAAAGTATTGTTAAAAATGAATCATATAAAAATTATTTACTCCAGCGGCTTTTAATGGGGGAAAAGCTGGTGATGTAAAAATGAAATTGTTTGAACCAAGCAGTTAAATCTGTTTTGTGTTTTACTCTGACAAATTTGATCTGTTACAATAAGCCATTTTTCCATGTCTTTAATTTGTAGAGTATTGTTGTCTAGGTTTTTCCAGTTACTTTTGCTTCATTGTTGCTTATTAATGGGGTCCTTGTCAGTTCTGAGCAACAGCCTTAGTCACGGCGGTAAAGTGCTCCCACTTACAGCCAAACACAATGTCATGCCTTTTAACAACAAAATTAGTTTAATCATTTTATAGTTATTTATTAAGGGTGAGTTTATAATTGAATGCTCTGAATAAAATTTGAGCAATATAAATTACTAAGACAAAAGGAATTGAAAGGAGAGTACAGGTCAAATACAGACATGGATATTCTTGTTTAAGGTGAAATATGGTTGGATTAAAGATCCAAATTAAGTAAGATGCTGAGTCAGACTGCAGAACAAAGAAAACGAAGCAAAAATGAAGGAATTGTTCGTACAAACTGGAGTGATAAAGTGGCCACCCCATCCTCATGTGGGAAGCAGAATTCACAGTCACAGAAATGAAGACTAAATTACAGAGGCTGGGGAGTAGTGTGCACATAGTGACCATGTCTTTGTGGTATTTTTCTTTTTATTTTAGGTGTGAATTTATTTGAAGACAAAGATACGTCCCCACAGTATCAAGCAGATCTTTTTACTTGGCCCATTGCACCAGCTAAATTTTCAACAAACAAGATCAGTGTTTCACCTGTTGACAGTCAGGGTAAAAGATATGATATAAAATAAATATCTGACTATTGAGAATACTTTTTGTAGTATGCTTTTTAAAGTTTAGTCTTTAGGAAATATTTTAAACACTCAGAAAATACGTAGCACTAACTTAAAAAAGACAACACTCCGATGTTTCTCCGCGCTGTTACCATCGCGTCCCTCCGCTCAGCTTCTGTCATAGGCGGCCACCAGCAGTACATACTGAAGTCCTGTTCAGGGGTATTTTATTTTAAACTGCTTGATTGTGCCTCCTTTATTTTTTATTTGTCTTTATTGTGGAGTTTCCCACCTTGTCTTCTCCCCCACTGCCCACATTACTGCAGGTCAGCCAGGCTTATAAAAAATGTGCGCACATGCACACACCCACTCCTTTCTAGCACAAACTCCCAATTTAAATACTTTTACTTCCTTTTTGGTCGCTAGAGTGTATTTTTATGCCATCTCAGCAATACTTTTTTAAAATGTATTTTTTAATCTGCGTTTTAGTTGTTGGAACTCAAGAGGTCATGTGAGGTATGTGCTACCTCTACTGCCTGCATCCAGAATGGTATTGACATTGGATACTAAAGTTTACCAAAATACCTTCATGCAAACGGTGTAGCCTTGATGCTTTCATGAAAATAAGCTCAAGAACACATGTAAACATGACAGTGAGGACCCATGACCTTAACGCGCCTTAAGGCTTTGATTTTTAGTGATTTAAATACCCTCCCCAGACTTTACTCTTACTCGACAAATATGAATGGCTAGCTTAGAGTCATAGTTTCTAAATAAATTATGTCAGCAATATTTATTTTCTCACGTACAACCTCTTGGCCTGTGGCTTTAGTTTACTCTCTAGCCACTGGTTAAGTACATTAGGAGGTTTACAATCTTTGTTTAAATGGGAGTGTTCTACAACTGCACCTGTTACTTTCACAAGTAAGTAAGGCTTATGAAAAGTAAGTCTAGCGAGCACTGACTGACTGGGGGGAGGGGAGGCCAGCATTGCACACGTGGAGCTCTGATCTCTGAAGTGACTCCTGTACACGCGTCCTTCTAAATGTAGTGCACAGAAGAAAGGAAGAAGTGAATATTCTGCTTCAGAGTATTACAGGGTTGGGAAAAAGGGTCAAAATTAAGGAAGATGCTAAGAATGGAAAGTGTTCATCAGTGTGCCACCCTCCACATCAGGTTAAAAACACACAGTGAGGGCTCTGCTGCTGATCACTCTAATTCACCCCCGAAGTGCCCTTGTACATCTGTGTTTGCAGGTACTAAAAACACCACATCAAAATGCTATAAAAGAACCTTCCTCTACAAGAGAATTTTTCTCAACCAGATGGGGGAAGGCTGTCTAAATGACTGTGAAGAATTGGATATATCAGAGAGATGATACAATATATAGGAAAGTTATTAAGAGAGTAAATTCTGGCAGTAAATCTCCTAACAGGCAAAACATTTTTTCTGTTTTTTTATTGTTTCTTTTTGTTGTGTTTATATGAGACGATGGATGTTACCTCAGTCTATTGTGGTAACCATTGCACAATACATGTAAGCTGAGCCCTCCTGCTGCACACCTTGAACTTACACAGCCATGTATGTCAGTTACTTCTCAGTGAAACTGGGGAGAAATATGCAATAGGCATCCAAGTTGGAAAGGAATTTGATGTGAAATTATCATGTAATTTTTCTTTTTAAATTTTATTTTAGGTATGAATTTACTTGAAAACAAAAACGCATTCTCACATCAAGATCTGTATACCAGGCACAACACAGCAAGTAAATACACAACAAGAGTGATTCACTTAGCGCCCTTCAACAATGAAGGTAAACATTACAGAGAAAGGTGTAAAGTAGTGTGTGATTTCTTAGAATAGTTATTATAGTATAGTTTCTTTTTATGTCTTACTTTTTGTTCAGAAATATCGTAGATAAATCCTTGCAAGCCTGAACATGAAATGGCTTTAATTTACCCTTTTTTCCTGGCAGTATAATAGTAGCCTTTTGATACAGTATTTGGCATCAGTGCCAAAGACCACAGCCTTGTGATCTGTAGTCATTTGAGAGGCAGCTCCTATGATGTGACTTGCCACAAAACAACACACACACACACACACACTCTCTCTCTCCCTCCCTCCTCTCTCTCTCTCTCTCCACACACTCTCTCCACACAATGGAATACTATTCCGCTAGTCTATCAGCATTGAATTTACTTCTTTATTTAGATTTCTTTTAATTTCCCTCAGCAGCATTTTGTAACTTTTAGTACAAGCCATGCCCCTCTGTTAAGTTTATTACTATTATTTTTGATGCTATTGCAAACAAAATTGTTTCCCTAATTTAGTTTTTGAATTATTCAATGCTCTTATGTAGAAGTAAAATTGAGTTTTATTTTATACATCTAGCAATAGTTTTATGCTTAAAAGGGCTGCTGCATAAGAGAGAAGAAATTACATTGTCATTTACATCTACCTGTATAATGACCTGTAAGGTGCTTTTTTATTTCTTCATGTGGATTTGAGTTACTATCTGGTGTCATTTTGTCTCGGCCTTTTAACACTTGGCTGGTAGTATAAAAACAAAGTCTCTTCTTTTTTAATCTGGAAATGCCTTCGTTTCATCTTTGGTCTTTGAATGATAGGTTTCCTGGGTATAAAATTCTTTTTTGCAAATTTTTACTTTCATCACTTTGAAAACAATCCCACTGCCTTCTGTCCTCTGGTCCTCCTAGTCCCCCAGCCCGAGGCAACCACTACACCAATTTCTGTCTCTATGAAATTTGCCTGCACTGGATATTTCACAGAAATGGGGTCTTATGAAGCCTTCTGTGATTTGCTTTTTCCCTTAGCTCTGATCCCCAAATGGTCCTTCTAAGTCTATATCTTTTTTATTTTACTTATCTCCAAGAATTTTCATTAATTTTCTAAATTTTATTTTTATTGGCCACTAACTTATTGTGTGAGTATTAAAAATAAAACTAGTTATCAATGTGATCCATCTTACAGCTAGCATATTTTCTAAATATTTCTAGAAGAACCTTCCGAGTACTTTTCACCCCCTGTGACTGGACATCCAAAACCACTTCACAGAGCATTGGGGGCTGGACCGAGTGCTTATAAAACCAAGCAGCTTCCTTCACCGGACAAAGGACATTCAGGTATTTCTAATATTCTTAGTGTATGGTATGGTTTTTTAATGACTAAAGATTTAATTATATGAAAATAATCAGATTTTACTAGCTTTAGCCACATAACCAGTTTAGCAAAATATCAGTGAAACTAAACTCTGAATGAAGCTCGTCTGACACACGTGCCTTCTCGGCAAATGAGCAGTGTCTAGCGCAGCTCCCCCTTCCCCACTGCTGAGTCGGAACCAGTTTGTTCTCAACCTTTCTGTCTCCCACGCTGTCACAGGTCCTGCAAATGACTGACACAAACCCATCTTATTCCTCTTCCTTATATTTATGTATCTCTCTTTTGTCCAGTCCCAGGCAAGACCAACAGAAAGACTAAACATGAGGGTAAGTGTGAAGGAAAATAAATATTATGTTCATTTTCTTCCGTTCCTTTCATTACCATCTCCCAACCATCTAATCTACTAACATTTAAGAACTCATTTGCAGACCCCGTTTCTTACCCACTTCTCCAGTGGCGGTGTATAATCATGCCTTATGTCTCTGTGAGCTATATATTGTGAAAACTAAACACATTAATGTAAGTTTTTCTATTAACTTTGAGAAAGTGCCATCTAAATTCTCCACATTCTGCTTTTTATTTTAATGTATTTTTCTCCAAGTGAGCATATTGAACTTGTTGTCATTATTACATAGTTTTGTTTCTGACAGTGCTCAAAATATGTCTCTTTAAAATAGCATTTCTTTAGCATACCCCCCTCTATTCTAGCTCTAGATTTTTTCACTGTAGGAATACAGACTTTTCTTTAAGGTATGCTGTCTCATTTACGGATTAAAAACTTTGAGAATTTATTGATTGGATTGCTTAAGTATTTTTTCTTTTTACTGACCTACTATTTAAAAAGCTCTGTCTCTAACATATTATATAATTTTTGTTATTTCTTTTTCTTCATTTATACTCTTACTTTTTATGTTTATAAATACCAAATACCCAGCAACAGAAAACCAGAGAAAATATCTGGGTTAATAAAACTGCTTTATGTAAATTATTGAAAAATATACAGAAGCTGTACTTTAGAAGTGGATTAATAAGATTTTAAGTTTCTAAAAGTTGAAAGGAGGTCATTTCTAGAATAATTTAATGAAACTAGTCTCCTTTTCTTAGGGCATCAAAAAAAATTGACCTCAGGGGAAAAAAAGGTTGAACTTAAAGATACTCTGCCTGCTATGATCTCTACAGCTGCAAAACCTATCTATAAAGGTAAAGAATCCTTGCCATACAAAGCTGTACGAAATAAAACCTCATACCGTGGTTCCAGCGACCACATTTCCCAGTCGCCTAAAACCTATGGGCCCTCCTCCAGACAGACAACCATGAGCCAGGTAAATTTTTCCAAGCCTTTCTTCTTATCTGTCCATCTGTCTCTTTTTTTCTTATTTATATGTACATGGATCTTCCTTACCTCTGATCCAGGTAAATTGACATAGGTCTTTTATTTCTCACACCTTTAAGTTGCTGCATGATATTCTGTAATATGAATGTGCTGTAACTGATTTAACCGTTTCTCGACTGATAGACATTTCCATTTCTTTTATTGATGTATAGTTGATCTACAATATTCTGTTACTTTCAGATGTACAGTATAGTGATTCATTATTTTTGCAGATTATTTTCCATTATAGTTTATTACAAGATAATTCCCTGTGCTATACAGTATATCCTTGTTGCTTATCTATTTTATACATGGTAGTTTGTATCTGTTAATCCCACAACCCTAATTTGTACCCCCTTCCCTCTCCCCTTTGATAACCACAAGTTTGTTTTCTGTATATGAGCCATTTGTTTCGTATATACGTTTATTTGTATCATTTTTCAGATTCTACATGTGATACCATGTTTTTCCTTGTCTGACTTAGTTCACTAAACGCAGTATTCTCCAAGTGAATCCATGTTGCTGCACGAGACAGTATTCTTTCTTACGGCTGAGTAGTAGCCCATTACACACACACACATGCCACATTTAGCTAACCCAGTCCTCTGTTGGTGGGCATGTGTGTTGCACCCATGTCTTGGCTGTTGTAATTAGTGCTGCTGTGAACCCTGGGGTGCACATGTCTTTTCAAATTAGTGTTTCCGTTTTTCCTGAATGTACACCCGGGAGGCTGCTGGGTCATACGGTAGTTCTATTTTTAGTTTTTAAAGAACCTTCTGTACTGTTTTCCATAGTGGCTGCAGCAACAGACATTCCCACCAGTGGTGTACAGTGGTTTCCTTTTCTCCATGACCTCGCCAACATTTGTTATTTGTAGACTTTGATTAGATAGTCATTCTGATACGTGAGAGTTGATACCTCATTGCTTTTGGTTTGCATTTCTCTAAAAATTAGCAATGTTGAGCATCTTTTGATGGCTTTGTGTAGACATTTTCACAATAGTAATTCTTCTAATTTAAGAATACAAGATATCTTACATTTATTTGTGTCTAATTTCTTTCATTAATGTCTTATAATTTTTAAGATAGTTTTTGCTTAAATTTATTCCTAAGTATTGTGTTTTCATGGTATTGCAAAGTGGATTTTTTTCTCATTTTCTCTCGCAGATGACTCATTGTTAGTGTATAAGAATTCAACTGATTTCTGAATTTTGATTTTGTATCCTGCAACTTTATTGAATTTGTTGGTTCTGACTGTGTGTGTGTGTGTGGAGTCTTTTGGGTTTTCTGTGTAAGATTGTATCACCTGAAAACAGCTACACTTCACTTCTTCTTTTCTGACTTGGGCGCCTTTCCTTGTTCTTCTCTGACTGCTATGACTGGAACTTCCAGTACTGTTCTGAGTAGAAATGGTGAGCATGGACATCTTGTCTTGTTCCTGATCTGAGATGAAAAGTTCTTAACTTTGAACCTAACTGAGTATGTTATATGTGAGCTTGTCACATGTGGCCTTTATTTTTTTTTT